GGCAACGGGACCGCAACCCTCGGCGTTGCTCCCGTGCCTCGCTCAGCCAGTGAGCAGGAACTGGTCCATATGTGGGATCCGAACCCTCGGGCGGGAGCACCGCTGCGCTTCCCAAGTGGCGCACTATCCAGTGCGCCACCGGGCCGGCCCCCCATAGCGCTTTTTAAAACTCAAAAATCACTTTCTACCTTGTCTCGAAGCCGTATGCTTCATTTTGTCTGTCTCCATCAAAATATGAGCTTCTTGTAGCAAGAATTGCTATTAGCACAGCCCTGGACACAGACCAGGCACTCCACAAAAGAATCAGAAGTGAAGTATGTAGCGGGGCGTCATGAGAGGTAGGGACAGGAGAAACTGCAAGGCTTGCCTAGGGGGGAGTGCTAATTCACTTCTTTCCACACTGTTTCAGAGTGCGCAGCATGCGGGACTCTGCTCAGCTCTGTTAGGTGGTACCACTGAATGAGGTCCTCAGTGTTTGTACTTTAAACCAGTGTTTCCTGAGCATGCACTCGTCCAGGTGCTGTGCCACTGTGCTAGGAGGACAGCCCTCTGTGTTGTCTCCCTCAAGACTACAGAGGGTAAGACAGACAGTGGAGGAATCATCGTAATGCCTAACAGAAAGTCCAGTAAGAGAAGTACTGTGCACACAAGAGCCTAGCAGCACAGGAGACAGTAGTAAACAGGCCAGCCGGGGCAAGGGAAAGGAGCTGGGAATTGCTCCCAGGGCAGGTGACTAATGAGCTGGCATCTAAAAGATGGTAATCAACAGATAGATTAAATACTATGTATGATGCAAAGGTCAGGGTACACTAAATGCAAAAGAATACGTGAGATGTCTACCCATGGGACCTTACAATCTGTGGTTGGAGAAGAAAGACAGAAGTGTGGTAGAAAACAGCAATCTAAGTGAACTCACTAGTTATGACCTAATGTTTTCACATCAAAATAGAACAGTGTGACATCATAAGAAATAGATATTTAGTCTGTGCCCCCATTTCCTGACACAAAACTCCTAAAACCCTTGTATTTCCTGAATGATAGGGTGTGTCTTTTGTCATAATATTTGGTCTTGGTCCCCAGATCCTGACAGAAGAGCTTCTATGACCCTTGAAAGGAGTGTCTTTTGTATGATGGTGAGATAGCTGTGGCTGGGGGTAGCTTCTGGATGGAGGCTGATCACTGGGGAGACCAAGGCACGATTAGAGGGTTGGAGCTTTCAGCCCCACCCCTCAACCTTCAGGAGAGAGGCTGGAGAGAGTGGATCAATGACGGCGGATGATTGAATCATGGCCACTTAATGAAACAGGAATCCTAAATGAAAGGATCAGGAGCTTCCAGGTTGGTGAACGCATGGAGATGCTGGGAAGGTGGTTCTCGCAGAGAGGGTGTGGGAGCTCCGTGCCCCTGGCTGTTCATTTATATCATTTACAATAAACTATTAAACATAAGTAGAGTGTTTTCCAGAGTTCTGTGAACTGTTACAGAAAATTATTGAACCTGAGAAGGGGGTTGTGGGAACCCCAGATTTGTAACTAAGTCAAACAGACGTGTGGGTAACCTGGGGACCCACTACTGGCAACTGGCATCTGAAGTAGGGGACAGTCTTGTGTGACTGAGCCATTACCCTGTGGGGTCTGTGTTAACTCCGAGAAGTTAGCATCAGAATTGAGTTAAACTGTAGAACTCCCAGCTGGTGTCTCAGAGTTGGAGAATTGGTTGGTGGGGAAAGCTCCCACACGCATTTGGTGTCAGAAATGTTCTGTGGGTAGAGGAATAGTTTTTCCTGTCATGAATATGTATAAATGTTATCTGCCAGAAAGGAAAGGAGAGATGTCTTTGTTGGGGGGAAATTTTTGATGCATAAAGTAGAACTCTGCTGTAATGAATTAAGTGAGGTCATCTTATTGAGAGTTGATTAGAATGACTAAGGCAGATCTGAGCAGCCAACTGCCACAACTTGTGGGGCACAGCTACATGAGCAAATCTGTCCTGGTCAGGTTGTGGTTTGGTGCCACTTGTCTGCTCTAGTTTAACTATTGATCAGGAATAATTCTGGGTCCTATAGCTGGCCTGAACTTCAAAGATAGTAGCATCGATTGTAGCGCTCTTGGCTGGCTGGTCAGCTCACTTGGTTAGAGCATGGTGTTGGGAACACCAGGGTCAAGGGTTCAATCCCTGTATTGGGCAGATGCATTAAAAAAAATTTAGAGTTCTTGTTGGCACCCATTTCTTAAAAAAAAAGAAAAGTGAGCTTAGGGTTGTGTGGCCTATAGGGGCAGTGATGACCTCAGAGTGGACTGGGTGGCTCCACAGTTACTGGGCTACTGAGTAAGTCTTGGGCCAGCAGTGAGGTGGGAAACTGAGCCCATAACTCCCATGTAGAGCCAAGACTCTCAGATGAGCTGAAGGGTCCTAGGTTAATGGTGCCTTCCAGGTGTCAGTAGAAGTCAAAGCGATTGCTCTTTGAAGGAAATCTTCCCTCCTTAGACACTGTAGCATTCCTAACAATAAGATAAAGCAATCAGTTTACACTCAGAGGTCACTGAGTGCTCAAGAAGGTGAGTCACACTGAATGAGAGTCAACAAAAACAGCAAACAGCAGATATAAGCCACAAGGAACTGCAGATATTGAAATCGCCAGAGAATATGGGCTGAAGAATAGTTATGTGTGAAGTGTTTAAATAAATAAAGCACACAGTCTTGGTGATGAGAAAGCCATAAGACACTATCACGCATGAATAGGCAGGGCTTTTTAAAGGAGAACCTTTGGAAATGAAAAATATGATTGTTGAAATAAAACTCAATGGGTAGGTTAAATAGCAGATTAGACACAGTTGAAGAGAGCATTAGTGTACTGGAAGACATATCCAAAGAAACCTGGAATACCACACAGACAAGGAGATGGAAAATATAAAGGAAATGTTAACAGTTGTAAAATAGAACATGAAGGTCTGCTGTGGGTCTGGTAGGAGTCCCAGGACGAGAGAGAGAGAATGAAGGATTCTGCAAATTATCACTTGATTGACAGTTGACTCCCATCCTTCACCCAGTCCCTGTTCTCCAACAGGGATGGGTTAGGCTCTTATCTTTTTCGTAGGTTTGGGAACAGAGGTGAAGGCAAAGTCAGGCAAGAGAACAGCAGGCAGCCACATCTGGGAAAGCAGCAACATGTAAGATGACTGTCTGCATGCCCAGTTTCTACCAGGCCCAGAATGCCCATAATAAGGCCAACAAAATAGTCAACCAAAGGAGAGGTTATTGGAATTGCTATCAATATCCTAGAAGTTTCAGCCATCCTCAAGACCTTCAGTACTTCACCACCTTCAGTACTTCAGCCAGAATGGACAATTATAAACAAGTAGTGCCAAAGGGCCGGCCCGTGACTCACTTGGGAGAGTGTGGTGCTGATAACACCAAGGCCAGGGGTTCAGATCCCTATATAGAGATGGCCAGTTAGCTCACTTGGGAGAGCGTGGTGCTGACACCACCAAGTCAAGGGTTAAGATCCCCTTAACTGGTCAGCTTAAAAAGAAAAAAAAAAAACAATTAGTGCCAAACTTAGGTGCCTGCAGAGATGAGAAGCAGTAACTGGAGATGACAGAAGTATGGCGGTTCTTCCTGGGAGAAAAGGAACTACCCTAGAGGAAGGCGTAAATTATTCACATTCAGGATCCCCCAACCTCAAGAGTAACTGCACCCACATGCTCTACAGCAACAAGCCTCACCTGTGCACACAACATCCAGTTACCTTCGTCACTCTTCTATGTGGGAAGGCGTAAATTATTCACATTCAGG